TTTTTTTGCATTTCTGCATTTAGCAGCTGGTATCCACTGGGACCAGAAGCAGAAGGAAAGCCAAAGTCAACAGTAGGCCATGACAGCTCATTCTAGTTTTGTATTCCTGCCCTTGTCCAAAGTGATAACGCTGCAATATTCTTCCTCAGCATCTAATACCTAAGCAAGGGGTGAGCTAGACGCACTGCGATGTAGCGGGTGGTGTGTCGGACTCGTCGTTAACACAAGAAACCTGATTTTAAATCCCTGTCCAGCAATGGAAGCTTGCTGGGTGAGTGTGTCGCTCCTTCAACATCTCACAAACCCTGGACACCCAATACTAGGGTTGCCATGAAGTCAAAACCGCACAATAAGACAAGGACTCCATGGAGTTTTGGAGGACTGTGTCGGGAGGAGTCGAGAGCAGGATCCGTGCCAGCGGTGCTTTGGCTTTATATTACTTTATACGACTTAACAGCCAGTAATTAAGCTTTAGACAGGGGCCCTGAGCAAGAGAGCCTTGTGGCACCATAAAAAAACTAGGGAGTTTTATTCAGCCCAAGGTTTCAGGGCGTGCAACTCCCTTCAACAAGATGGGTTTGAAGAGAGGGAAGCCGGACGCCACCAAACCTCGTGCCCAAGAAAACCAGCGAGTCGCTAAGGCGTCACAAAAGCCTTTGGTGTTCGGGATGTGGCAGACGATGGATCAAGTGATCTTTTTAAAAAATTGCTCTGCCTTTCTCCTTAAAAAGGACCCAAAGCGGCTGACATCCATAAAATATGACATTTAAAGCTAAAAACAATGAGCATTTTGTCCTCTCATCAAGAGCGGGAGCCAACGTCACACCTAGACAATGTCGGACAACCAACTCTCATCACGCTCCCCTCTAGCTGGACTAGGGCTGATGGGCATTGAAGTCACACAAGAACTGAAGGGCCACCACGTCACTTTAGCTCCATCTTTCCCGGCTCAATATCCTCCAGACGAGAAGGAAAACAAGCACCACTCTCCCCAGTCAGCACTGTGGACGATGGGCCTTGTAGTTCAACACCAGCCAGGAGGCACCAGGCAAGGAAAAACTGTTCTCCCCACTCCACCACACTTCCTCTCCCCCCCTCTCCCCCCCCGCAAAGGTACACATGCTACTATCCATCTATTTTTCTCGGCGCCTGGTAATTAAGAAGTACGTATGTTCCTTCTTATATTTTAATCACCGGCCATTACTCTGTGGTCCTCCTTCCCGGACTTTCTGAGGCTGGATTTGTTAAAAGTCAATGTTTAATTTCTTTTCCTCCATCATGATCTAATATCTTCCTTCTCAATTAGCCTGTGATCCACCGCACAAAATTTGATTAACCTTCCTTCATTTGCTGTTTTTTTCCTTGATTGTTAGGCCGGTAACTGCATTGCTGGCTCCAGCGAGTGTGCCTTGAACTTTTCACCGAAATCTGTACCCAAATGTCTTGGAAGGGGGGTTGTTCCCCCACCCTTTTCTTCTTGTTGTTGTTGTTGTTGCTACGCAATCGCTTTGGATCATCTGGATCTCAGTCCACCATCCTGGACAGGACACACAGAAACGAGGGATGGAGACAGGATTCGCCCTCAAGTCCGATTCAAGCCACACCGGTGACTCAACTCCATCTTGACTTGGGTTGGTTGGTTGGTTTCCAATGACTTGTGACAGCTGCCCGTCTCTTTCCCTTTTTTTCTGAGGGGAAGAGCTTGCTTTGTAATAGGGACTTGAACCTGGGACTTGGGACTCAGGACATGGACCTAAAGACTTGCCAATTTCCCGGGTGTAAACGGGGATGTTGGTTTATGTTTCACCAGCAGCACATGCGGCTGTTGGAGAAACAGAGATCATATCCCAGGACCAGAGCTTTAAAGTTTTAGTTTTGGACTACAACTTCCAGAATCCCACAGGTCACACTGGCTGAGGATTCTGGGAGATGTAGTCCTAAACCCCACCCCCACCCCAAGTTCTAGCACTCTGATGAACTCCCACATATGGATTTTGGTTGGGTATTGAGCCTCAGAAGGCAGAGTCACATACAGAAGTGAGTTGACCAAATGAAGGGCTTGGAACAGCCATTGTTCGGTGGCTATGTGTCCTCTTTTACAGAGGAGAGTCCTCCATTTGAAGTACTGTTAGGGGACAATCCTGTTTTTGAGGGTGTCCTCCAGTGGAAGAGTTGCCCAAGCCAACTCGAGTTTGTAAATAGAGATCCGTCAGGAGTAGGCACAAGCTGGTGACTCCAGTTTCAGGAGTGTTGTGAATCCACTTCAGGTTTTACTCTGCACCTCCCAGGGATTATGAAAAGTGCTGAACTTATTTGGAGGTTGTGTTTAGCATCCTGGAAAGCTCCTTTAAACTGAGAACACAAATGTGGAGTGGATTCAAAGCACTCCTGGAAGTGGATTGAGAGGTGGGTGAGGGACCCCCCCCCAAGGGCAACCATCATCTACACTTAACAGCACCAGGGCTGTAGGGACATAGACCGGCTAGTCACAGCCTCCCACACTTGATTAAGATGCACTGTAATTTTGGCTAAATAATTTAAAACAGAATTGTCCCCATTCCCCAATCTCTGGGAACCACTTAAAAAAACCTTTCTGCTCCTCTTTCACAACAAGAAGGAGAAAGTCTCAGGCTCTTCTGTCTGACACTCCTCACCCTCTGCCCCCTAAAGAAGCATCATTTTTGGCAAAAATGGATCCCAGAAGATCTTCAAACCTCCAAGGCGTACAAAGTCTGAGGAATTTCCTGGTTGTCCTTCCCTCCAACATTAATCAGGGGAGATTTCTTCTGAAAAAGGAAGTCTCCGGATGAGTCAGAAGGCTTCTTGGGAACAGCTTTCTTTTATGATGATGATGATGCCTGGGGTGATGATGATGGCGATATTACCCAACCTGCGTGGTTCCTGATCTTCAGGGACATCTGACTAGGCTGCCAGCATATTGCCTCAAAGCATCCTCTCCCTTTTCACACAGGAAGGGGGTCAAGAGGGCGAGGAGACGTTTTCATAGAGAGCACATGAATAAATGGGGAAGGGTGATCTCGCACCACATTTACTCACAAACTAGTAAGTCAAACATAAGCATTGCGTCTTTGGGTGGATCCCTAGGCAAGAGGAGAAGGCGCACTTTACACATGCTCAGACCCATACCAGAAACCTATATGCATACATGAAATTAAAAGAACCCTGAATACAGGTACATATATTTAGAACCCCAAACCGAAACCTGTTCTCATTGCTCCAGTTGGATTCTCCTTTTTCCTTTTACCAGTACAGAGAACTACTCTTTGGTTCCCCCTAATGGCCAGTTCCGACATTGCACAACAGAAATCCATAAACCTAAGCAAAACAATGTGCTTGCCACTTAAGGTATAAATCTTGAAGAATGCCTATCAGATGCCTCAAAAAGGCTTAAAACATGTTTAAAACATTCAGTCATTTACAAAACTAGGAATATCACAACAAAAGGAGTTTTTTAAACCATTCACTCATTGCTTTTGAAACAAGTTATATCGTTGTTCCCCCCACAGTTAACAAGTTACAAGTAAACATGTTACAAACGAAGCAACTATCTTTGAAGGAATTTGTGTAATATTATACGGAAGAAAAGAATGGAAAGTTTAGAAACAGATTTAGCTCAGTGGCTTAGGTCTCTGGCTGCGGAGCCAAAGTTTGGGAGTTCGATTCCCCCAAGGGGCTTCCTTGACGGGCTGAACTTGAATGAAGATCCATAGGGTCA